TAACGTTAAGGTACAGTTACAGTTAGGCAACTAAAACAGGTTAAAGTTAGGAAAAGATTGTTATGTGTAATTGAAAGCAAACAGAATGCGAGCTCCACTTGAAAATGAGAACACTGCATGCCCAGTCAGATCCTCAACATCCATCCACCCATGGCCTTGCTACATGAGGGGGTTAGGGGCCCACTACTTTATGCATTGACACTGAACATTGGAATTGAACCTAAATTTGTGATTTTCAAAATTCTTCAACATGATGCAATTCCTTGGAGTTCAGGCCTGATTTGTGCACAGACAGTCTCCTATAAATAAAGAGACACCCCCAAACTGCTGTGGCCATTGACATCCCTTTAAAAGGCTTCAGTGTAGGGCTACTTTAGCAAGTGAGAAAGAAAAAGAAAGCATCACAAACAATGCCTTTGGTATACCAAATCTGTGAAATGGGAACATTTTGACAAAAATAGAAATTGGGTACATTCATAAATGACAAAATAGTGGCACAAAATATGGAGCTTCAGCTGCTCAGTGAGATGGGGAAAAAAGTTAATGGCATTAGGCAGAAACAGTGGGATGTCAGTGCTGATTTAAAAGAACTAAATTTCCCCTTGAACATCTTCGATGTCATTTCATTTCACATACAAAGGTTTTCTGTATAAAATAAAACACATCTAATAATGCAGAATTATCCATGTGTAATTTGTACTGCAGCAACATTAGTTACAAGGTCAAGCATGTCTTCAGGCGCCGTTGCTGCTGGTTGATCAATTTTATAGTAGCACAGTGGAGTTGAAAGGAGTGGTTCAAAATATACTCACATTCTTATGCACATGAATAGATGGATAAATTGCATTCTGTGTCTAGAAATTAGCTCATTTGTGGAGTTTCTGCACAACACTGCATAAGCAGAATTGATAAATGACATCCACAACCTTGGACGTCAAAGAGGTAGAGAGCAAAAAGAAAATATGAGACAAGACAGCAGCTGTTGGTGGCTTACAGAACACGCAGTGTGGGAGGTACAATTCAGCCAGTTTACTGATGGCATCAACCACACCACCCCAACTATGAGCTCCTAGCATGTTATAATACTGTATAGTTTAGGAACTGTCTCGGATACTGCTGTGGGACTAACATTGTCACTTCAGATCATTCTCACAAAGACTTTCTGTTGTGCTCTTTCTCTCGATTTTGGCAAAGGATTTTCTCACTCCAGAGAAGTGTAATGATTACACGGTGCTTGTAAAGAGTTTATAGTGCTTCAGACTTCTGTCAGCTGTGTTGCAGCCGTCTTCCTGAAAGCAAACCCTTTCTGTGGGGAGTGGAAAGTAACAGATAGTTTTTTTTATGGATTGGCAGTGTTACCTGTGCACAGTTTCTTTTGTTTATATAGATACGAAAATTTTTCTTCAGCACCACTTCAGCTCCTTTTCCTGCTTAGGGGATAACAAAACTCTGCTGCTTTAATACTGTATCATATAAAAACATGATAACACCAAGACTGTTAATTTGCCTAAAGGAGTTTTTCTGCACAGTTAACTTCCCACATTATGAGCAATTAGCTTGTATTTCGGTTTCACATACTAAACTGATAACAAAGTCAGGCTGTATACAGCTGACCTCTGTGGGGTTGATGGCAGCATTTAAATATTTTACCATCCCCAACTCAGCATCTTTAAAATGTATTATCCTCAGAAATTGAAAGGAAAAAAAAGTGATTTTGTAAACCCAGTTGTTTTTCTCTTGTTGCTGTTTCCAAACAGGGGACATTAAGCTGCTGGTCCTCAGATTGTTTTCTCTGCAGAGATGCTTACCAGTAGTGAGAGAAATAAATATGAACTCAATAATTTTGTATTACAGTCTGTGTTGGTCAGATGTAAAACAAATGAAATGTCATAGCAAATTTAGAACCACAAGAAAACTAGCCATTCTCTATTAGTGTGATGCGTTCTCATTGTATTACTGTATGCTGAAAAGTAAACAGTTGAAAATAGATGGACTGTTTTTTCTTCACTAGAACAGTCATCATTCACTACACACAGTACACAAGTTCAGGTTTAGTCCCGAGTACTTGTACACAGCTGTTGCCCCAGGGGATAAACATTTTGTGTTCAGCATTCCACTAGAACTGTTGACTTTGGACAAATTATGTTTTATGTTGTAAATGTTATGTTGCTCTGAAACTTGCTAAAAATGTTCCAGTTGACAATCTTTTTTCACATTTTATAATCACCTTTATTGGCCAAGTATGTTACACACACAAGGAATTTGTTTCCGGTACAGAACTGAGGCAGCCATCTGTGGCACCACATCAACCGATGGCTTTAACCATCGGGGGCAACGGGGGTTCAGTGTCTTGCCCAAGAGGGTGACAGAAAATCATAATAATCATTATATGCAGTCATACTTTGAAGATCCCTTAACTTTTCCTCTAATTCTAAACCTGCTTAACTAAGATGACCATGCTATGGACCCTTTTCTTTATCTTCTGAAACCAGTCTTTCATATATTGAGCGTCTGTTGGCCAGTGTTTGGACATTCTAGATATGTAACTGGTTTCCTTTTCTACACATGCACATTATCACCACTTGTACACCTGAACTAAAGATGTTACTATACCTACATATGTTTCTTTTTTGGGGGCCACAGTATGCTTTAAGTATATTTCAATTGCACTGGGTCATAATGCTACAGTTTGTATGTATACAAAGTGAAGTTTATAGTGGAATAAAGAAATAGCTCTTTATGAGGCTTTTGAAAATACATGTCAAAAATATTTATTTGCTGTTCCGCTTGAAATGAACTGCCTTTGGGCCACTTGTTGCCTTGTGTTATCTGCAGGGTGAACATTCAGTCAAAATGGTGCTGCATTATGATGTTTGTGAACACATTTTAAGTCAAGTGTTCCTGGTGAGTTATTCTTCTGCGATGAGCTGATCAGGTCTTTCTTCCTACCTCAACAGGAAGACCATCCAGTCAGAGGGGAAATCGTGCTCACATCCAATGACCTCCAGCTGGTACTACAAGTTGAACGCAATCAGTGAGTATTCCTTTTTTCATGCCATCTCTGTGTCTTAACACCTTTAACAACCTCCTCTGTTCCACTTGTGAACTGTGGAATTAATTGGAAGACAGCGAATGTATAGAGAATGTATAGTGAAGTGATAATAGAGAGAGACAGCAAAATGTTCCACCTATGCCTTTTCTCTCTCAATTCTGTCTGGACTATGTTTTACCATAGAAGCCAAGGTTAATAAATGACTTCACCTGTTAAACACTTATTGATAAATGAATGGATGTGTTAGTGCTAATAGCACTTTGTAACACCATAATCCAGACGCTGCGAGGCTAGAGCGTTTGCTTTAAAGTTGTGAGGTCAGTTTGTCAGCACAGAAAGCTCTGCAGCTGCTGAAAGGGAACACTGATGACACTGTTTGATGGTCATGAAGAGCTGCTTGACCTTGACCATTAAAGTTTACTCATGGGTTCAACCAATGGCATTTGGTTGATTGTTATGAAGGAATGTTGCACTGCAGGTGTGTGACTTCGGAGGGGATGAGTGAATGTGAGACCTTTCAGTGGGTTGAACATTGAGACACATTTCAGTATTCCAATCAAAGGCAGTATACACGTACGTAGTAGATGCTCAGGATTTCAGTTGCTTGGAAACAGACCGATGACTTGGAGTAAGAGGAGACCAATAGAGAAACTGACACAGACAGTTAAGCAGACTGACAGAAAAACAAGACATTCTCAGACAATGGTGGCCTGTACGAGATAGAAAGGCAGTGATAAATGAGATGGAGTGAAGACGGAACCATACAGAGAGTTGACTGGTGATGGTACATTGAGCCTGGGCCAGGGGTTTACAGTGTGTGATACAGGACAGTGAGCTGGCAGACTCTGTGTTTACTTTAAACCAGCAATTGAGTCCCATTGAAGCACACAAGCTTGATCTGGACCGGCAAATGTAGGTCAGATAAAGAGGGACACATTCTGGGGAAGCAGTTGCTCCGTTGAAGGCGTTTCTGGGAATGTTACTGGGCCTCTTCCACTGGGACAGGACTGGAAAATATCCAGGAAGCAACATAGTGTTTGAAGGCCAAGATCATTACTTTATACTTATAGGGAGTAGGAAATGAATAAATGAATAAAGATATGTTTATTACACTAGTTCCTCATCATTAGGAAAAATATATATCATTATGATCAGTATCTCATTATCAGAAGAAAGTATCCTGTTATAACAGCAAAATAACTCCTTTGCAGGAGACTAAAATGTCTTGTTACAAATGAAGTACACATTTTTTACCTTATTATTACAACAAAGTACCTTATTTTTTGGGGGGAAATATCACATTATAAAGACAAATAGGTAACAAATAGATAACAAGACATAAAATATGTAAAGCTGTAGCAAGTGTTTGCTAATAAGCATCCCCTTATTACTAGTAATAAAGTAAAGCTATCTCATCAACACAAAAATATCACTTTAGAAATTTCAGCTTTTTATTTAAAACAAAGCAATTTAGTATTAGGAGATCATATATTGCCTTATACGCTAAAAATATATCATTGTAACAACACAATTATTTAATTATAATGAAAAAAGTATCTTGTTCAATCAAATGCCAAAGGAATTCAGACCTCTAAGATGTCTCAGGCCCTTTCCTCTTTCTTTACCCAGTGTATTCCTAGCATAGCAGTGGCAAATCAGGTGCTGAGAGTATTTGTATAAAGTTTGATTCTCTACTCCCTGATTCTTGCATCCCTGAATGGAAATGCCTTAAAATGAATTTTGCTGCTTTTATTCTTTTTCTCCGGCACAAAATCCCATTGGGGCTCCTTAGTAAATATGAACGCATGCAATTTCACTGATCAGCCCCAAACAAATGAGCCACAAAGCCTTAGTAAATATCACCCACGCTGTCCTGCTGCTGTATGTGTGCAACCCTGTAAATTGTTGCCTTCTACAAACTTTTGACCTCAATTCAAACTGAATATTCATAAAAGCAAATGTTTCCCAATAAACCCATTAGCCTAGCCAATCAAACTATCAGATCTTAAAATGATATTCAAATACTTAGGAATAACAATTGCCGGCACTACAAAATTACAGAATAAAAGGGGCAGAATATTGGTCTATTAACATCCCAAGTAAAATCTGGCCTTCAGAGGTGGAACAACAGGCCCCTCGCTTTGACTGGGAGTCAAAGTCATTAAATGAATGTTTTACCTAGATCTATATCTTTCAGTGTTAACATGCTTTCATCCTACAGTCACTTTTTATGATGCAGTGATTTCCCCACTTACCTGAGGGAGCAAGTGAAACTTGCCCTCCCACACCACCTACATTTTCACTGGGCTGCCAACCTCAGCATTATGGTTCAGTAAACTGCAGGATACCTGGTATCATCTTGAAGTTAAATTCTGCACATCCAAAAAATATCAATAAAAAAATAAATGTAGTTGCTGTAGACACATAAAGGTCTACGCCCAAATAAAGTAACAGTTTTACTGCTCCATGCCTTTAGTATTCCCAGTTAGTAACACTCACCTTTTTCTGCCTCTATAAATAAGACAGATAATAACGGGATGGATGAGGTGTGTGTGTGTAACAATGGAAGAATATGTACTTCATTGTTCTATACCTTTCACTTTGTCCTTGTTCTCAAAAGACATTTTTAAAAAGTATCTTGTTATCCAAAAGCATTCCTTATATGCAGCAGATGTCTTATTATAATGATGATGATATATCTTGTAATCAAAATATGTTTTTATGGTGACAAGAAGTCATCTCATTACAATGAAAAGCACATCTTATTATAATGTTAAAATGTGTCATTACGTTGTTTATGATCTTTTATAATAAATGTATCTCATTAATACGAGAACATTTATAAAAACATATTTATTAAATTGTGTCATTCATGTGATAACCTTTGTCTGTCTTTTGTTAGTTTGGGGGCTTCATAACAAACAACAAAAAGTGTTTCAAATAACAAATAAATAATAATTCAAATAATATTCCAATGTTACTGCAACAGAATCATGTAGTGTTAGAGACAAAACATGTTAAAATTAGATAACTATTTTACTGAGAAAATTCTTTATGTTTCTTATAATGCACAGGATTTTATTATCAAATGTCATTTGGACTGATCAGGTCTTATATCCTATAATCACTGAGGTTTTTCTCATGTTAAGGTGATTGCATTGTCATTAGTGGACACTAAGCCAAGTACAGTAGAAGACTGACTACTGTTCAATATGAATGTTCAGTGTGTTATTTTGTTTCATTATTCATTATTTGTTATAGGAAAGCTTGTCTTTTTTTTGTCTATCCTTGAGTCTGTTCTCTGAGATTCTGTATTTTTTACTTTTTTACAAGGAAAAAATTTAGGTGAATGCTTTTTTCTGAAAACAATGAAGTTGTTAAATAAAAAGGCAAAAAAACTTCAATGTTTGTATTTTTGTTGTGATTAGGGATGAGGAGGCCCATCACATTGGAGTTGGATGTACTGTAGATGACTGATTGACTGATATCTGGAAAGAAAACTTTACAGGCTTCTACAAAGTGTGACTCCGTCAATTCAGACACAAGGGAGGAGAACGAGAGAGGGATGGAATGAGAATGAGTTGGGAATGTGCAGGGGGAAAGCTGATCTACACACACATTCTGAGTATAGATTGAGTACAAGAGTGGGGAAGCCTGTGTGTGTATGGTGGCTCCCGGAATGCCAGCTGACATAGGACTAAGCATGCCTGTACTGGATAAAATGTCCTGAACAGACAGATGACGTAGGATGTGGTGGCAGTGACTCATTCATCTGGGCGTCATGATGTGGGTTTGTTTGTTTGTCTGCTACTTTGTGGTGGTAGAAGAGGTGAGGTCCATCTCACAGCATTGATCAGCATCTCTGATTACAAAACACTTGAGGATAAAAGTTCAGTGTTGCAGTGCTCCAGCTGATGTCATGTGTGATTTACCAGTTTGGGTAAAGTGGAAATAAATATTGCTCTGAGTTTGTAACACCACAGCAAAATGTGTTATTAACCACCCAGCCAAATTTTAATGATTAAAATATTTCCAAGTATATAAAATTAGTTTTCAAAATCATGAAAAAATAAGGTGTATTCTCTGCTCTGAAATGCTGGGGGAGTCAGGTTCAGACAGTGAAAGAATGCCCAATTGCAGAAATGTGCCACCTGTTCTCATCATGGATGGATATGCAGGAAAGATTCATTTGTGGGGTGAAGGCATAGCTAGCTAGCAAACTGTAGGCTGTATTAGGTGTAGTAGCTCATGATAAAACAGGAGAACTGGCTCTACAGGAGCATTTTATCAAATAGAAATATGGTTTTGGTGTTTATGGAACTACTTCTCCTTTGTGTTGATGTTTGAATGAGAGCGAGTGGTGCTTAGCTCACATACAGTACATACTCACACACGGAGCAGACAGCTGTTGTCGCAGCAGTGGGGACAGGGAGTCCAGGAGAAGTGAAACTGAAGTTTACAATACCTATGCTCTTTACTGTACGTGCAATAAGACCTTTGTGACCAAAAAAGCTCCTTGGAGTAATTTAATAAAACACTTGCTAAACAAGCATAAACTTGCAGAGAGCCCACAGTTTAAACTTTGCCTGCAGTCTGTGAGCTTGTTAGGCTAATAGTTAATAGCTATCTTAACTGTGGTGCTTTGTCCAGTGCAGCAGCTGCACAGCCTGCTGTGAGGCTGTTTTTTCCTCTTTCTCATGTCTGTCTACCTCCACCAACTACGGTCAGTTCAAACCCGCTCTGCCACATTCACCCTTCATGCGTTGCTACTTTTATTAGTTTAATACTGAGGCAGCAGCATTAATGTTATTTCTATAAAAAAAAAACTGTGGCTGTAAAATGTCGTCTGTGCTCATGTCGAGTTATCCTAAAAAAAATGTAAGCATAGAGCTCTGTGCACTGTAACTTTTATAACATTACAGTGATGGGGGGAGGCAGTATGTTAAGGATGTCTCCAGTGTGTCACCCAGTGTGTCATTGAG